AGTTTGTACAATTGGTAAATGTGGAGGAAAGGGAGTAATGATACAGACACTAACCCTTAAGTTTTTTACCCTACCCATCGGTCTAGACACTCTGAAGAGCCTTATAGGCCAGAGGACACCATTCTCCTCATACAGGACATGAAGGACATAGATGATTTGCTTAGAATTAGCTTTTTAAGGACATCAGTATACCGCCCCCTAAACAATTGTAGTTTCCATTTCTCGCACCAAACCTCTTGACACTTGCGAAATTTGGATCTTGACAAGACATTTCCTTTTGGCCCAAATGGTGGACCCAGCCTTATTCCATCCTTGTGGGCTTAAGTGGTTGAAGTCAACAGAATTCCCATCGAGGGATGTCACAAACTATCCAACTCATTTATTGTTGTATCAGCTAGACAGACGAACCAGGAGAGACTCCTATTTTCCTAAAAACACAGACAATATTACAATTTGCCCACTCATACTTATTAGGGGGACACCTGGGGGTAGACAAAACATATGAGCAAGTATTAAAAAGATTCTTCTGGCCAGGATGTATGCTAACATCAGGTGTTACTGCCTCAGCTGTCCCAACTGTCAGCTTAGTGCCCCAAAACCCTGACTACATGTTCCTCTACTACTTGTAATAGAGGAGCTCTTTGCCCACATCACTGTAAACCTCCTAAGACCACTCCCTAAAACATCAAGGGGGCATGAATATATATTAGTTGTTGTAGATCATGCCTCATGCTATCCAGAGGCTTCATCCCTTCGTAGAACTGCCGGCAATGCAATAGCAAGAGAGATGGTAAACTAATTCAAACGTGTCAGACTGCCTTGGAAAGAGCCTTGCAGGCCAGAGGACACCATTCTCCTCATGCAAGACATAGAAGATTTGCTTAGAATCAAATTTTTAAGGACATCAGTATATGTCCTTAAAAATATATACTTATTTACAATATATATATATATTTATATAAAGTATATATAAATATATATTTATTTTTAATTGATGGTTTACTACCAATATTCCTACTTTAAATAAAAAAATACATTTTCTTCTTCCAGCTTAAAGGAAGTAAAAAGATAAAATGGAAGACAGTTGTCTTTGATTGCAAGGGTTAACTAATGAATAACATTTTTTCATGTATTCCTCAAAATGAGAATATACAACATGTTGAAACAAATTCCCTTTACATGTCTTTGGAAGTCCACAAGGAAGGCAAAACAATCAACATAATGTAGATATATCTATTTGCCTAATTCGTCACAACCGCTATAACATGTACACTTTAAGATTGACTGAACCAGTATTAGGTAACCTTACCTAGTTTCTTAAAATGGTTTACTGCATTAAATGATAATGTAGAAAAAAGCAGGAAAGAGCAACATTATCGTAAAAACATGGTGAAGCACAGACAAATGTGATAAAGTATGACAAAGACCAAGGCATAGTATTATGAATGAGTAAGTAAGCATAGTTAAATCAGGGGACAATTCACTGCCGTGTCATTAAGAAGGTGCACCAGCAGAAGAAAAGGAAAAGTCTGTTACAACAGCTCATATTTCACTGGGTACTTTATACCAGAGAAGTGTGGAGTGTAATAGTGGTTGTGTTTCTCAGTGTTCAAGATGTGTGGAGTGTGCAGCTAATTGTGCTTCTCAGTGTGTCAGAGATGTGTGGAGTGAGCTGCTGTTTGTGTTTCTCAGAGTGTATGTCACAGATGTGAAGATTGTGCTGTGTCTGTTTCTCAGTATGCTCTGGATGTGTGAAATGTGATGCTAGTTGTGTTTTTCGGTGTGTCAGGGATGTGTTGAGTGTACTGCTGGTTGTGATTTTTAGAGTTTCTGTTAGGGATGTGTGGAGTCTGCTGCTGTTTGTATTTCGCACCCTGTCTGTCAGGAAAGAGTGCAGTGTGCTTCAGGTCTTTCCTGTCTTTCTCAAAGTGTGTGAGAGGAATGTGTGGAGTGTGCTGTTGATTATGTGTCTCAGTTGAGTAGATTGTGTCAAGTGTGCTGCTGGTTTTGTTTCTCAGAGTGTGCCATTTGTGTTTTTCAGTGTATCAGGAATATGAAGAGTAAGCAACAACGTGTGTCAGTGGAGTGTGCAACTGGTTGTATTTATACAGTGAGTGCCAGTTACAGTATGTGTGGTTTTAGCTGTTGGTTGCGTTTCTCAGTATGTGTTTTGAGCAAAGTCTGGATTTTGCTGTTGGCTGTGTTTCTCAGTGCATGAATCAGTAATGTGTGCAGATAGTGCTGATTGCTCTGTTTCTCAGAGTGTGTGTCAGGAATGTGTGGAGTTTTTTGATAGTTGTTGTTCTCATAGTGCGTGTCATGATTATGAAAAGTGTGCTGCTGATTGTATTTCTCATAGCATGTGGCACAAATGTGTGGATTTTGCTGGTGGCTGTGTTTCTCCATGTCTGTCAGGAAAGTGTGGAGTATGTTAGTAGTTGTGTTTTTCACACTGTATGTCAGGGATGTCTGAATTTTGAAGCTGGTTGTGATTCTCAGTTTGTGTCAGATATTTGTGACGTGAGCTTCTTGTTCTGTTTCTCAGAGCATGTATCAGCAATGTGTGCAGTGTTGGAGCTGGTTGGCTTTCTCAGAGTGTGTGTCAGGTATGTGTGGATTATGCTACTTGTGTCACGAACCACATTCCTACGTGAACCCTTCGCCACCAATACCCGCAGACTAATTAATCAATTGTCCTCCTCATGCTCTTCCCTATTTATACCTTCTCACTACACTCAGTCCCCACTCACTACTGAGAATAACCTTTGGCTTACTCTTCGCGTTTACTATCGACCTAATTTCTGGCTACCTGACTTTGTTTTTTCTCCGGCTTCACGCTTTGGATTTGGATACTCTCGACCTTGACTACAACTTTTGCCTTTTGCCCTTGGGATTTGGATACCAAAAAGTAGCTGCCTACAGTCTCAGTGCCACATAGGGTCCAACAAGGTACTCTTAAATGTCACCCTTCAGAACTGGTTGTGTTTCACAGTGTCTGATGAATGTGTGAAGTGTGTTGCTGGTTGTGTATCCCAGTTTGTTAGGGATGTATGGAGAGTGAAGCAGGTTGTGTTTCTCAAAGCATGTGTCAGGGATACGTGAAGTTTGCTACTCATTGTGTTTCCCAGGATGTTGTCACGGATATATGGAGTGTGTCAGGAATGTATGGAGTTCACTGCTGGTTGTGTTTCTAAATGAATCAGGAATGTGAGGAGTCTGCTGCTGATTGAGTTTCAGGGATTTGAGTGGTTTGCAGCTCATGTATTTCTCAGAGTGTACATCAGCAATGTGTGCAGTGGGTTGCTGGTTGTGTTTTTCAGTATGTTGTGAGGGATGTCTGAAGTGTGCTGCTGTTTGTTTTTCTCAGTGTTCCATTTATGTGTTGAGTTTGCAGCTGGTTGTATTCCTCAGTGTGTAACAAATGTGTGAGCTCTGTTGCTAGTGAAGGTCTCAGAGTGTGTCAGTAATGAGTGGAGTGTGCTGGTGGTTCTGTTTGTCAGGGTGTGTGTTGGGAAAGTGTGGAGTGTTTTGATGGTTATGTTTCTCAGAGTGTGTGCCACAAATATGAGAAGTGTATGGAAGCTTATTAGCTCCATGGAGAAAAAAAAAATTCTGATTTCTACGAGTCAGTATTGTGTTTATACAAGAAAAGTATCTGGTTTATATGAGAAAATTATTGTGTTTAAACGCAATAGTTAATTTGTTTTGTTTTTTTCAAAAAGAGGAGTGTGATGATATTCTACTGTTGTTAAAGTCAATGCTACTTTGCACAGAACAATATTTTGCATATATAGTACAATGCAATATATAGTGTTACTGTAAGTAGTAGTAACATTGTAGGCAACATTTTAAAAACCTATCTATTGTGTTTAAATGCAATAATTTTCTTTTCTTTTCTCATATAAATGGAATACTTTCTCGTATAAACAAGATATATTTTTCTCCATGGTGCTAATAAATGTCCATAGAAGTGTACTTCAGATTGTGTTTCTTATATTGTGTGTCAGGGATGTGTGAAGTGTGCTGCTGATTGTGTTCCTCAGTTTGTTGTGAGGGTTTGGAGTGTTCTGCTGGTTGTTTTGTCAGTGTACCAGGGATGTGAAAAGTGTGCTGCTGACTGTGTTTTTAAGAGTGTGTCACAAACTTGTAAAGTGTACCAGTGTCTGTCATGAAGGTGTGGTATGTGCTGCTGATTGTGTTTTTCATAGTCCCAATTTTACTGGGAGAGGGAGGAGGAAACTCAGTTGAACTAGCAGCCCAGTATATGTTCTCATGTTACAGCCTGAGGAACAGTGAGTCTGTCTCCTAATAATGCCCCATGTCTATATGTAAATATTTTATTATTGTGTCTTTATTGTAAATGTCTGTATAATAATTTTGTTTTATGTTAACTGGACTTGTTTTGCTTTGGCAACACTGATTGTACTCATTGGTCATCCCAATAAAGCACCTTGTGCTTTATTGCAATTGCAATTGTGTGTGTCAGGATGTGTGAATTTTGCTGCTTGTTGTTTTTCTATGTTTATTAGGGATGTGTGAAGTGTGCAGATTTTTGTGTTTCTCAGAATGTGTCAGGAATGTGTGAAATTTGCTACTGTTTGTTTTTATCAGTGCGTCAGGATGTGTGGAGCTGTATTTTTTCTCATTGTGTGTCTGGGCTGTGTGGAGTATACTACTGATTGTGTTCCTAAGAGAATGTGTCAGGAATATGTGAAGGGTGTTGCTGGTTGTGTTTCTCAGTGTGTGTGTCAGGAATATGTGGACTGTACTACTGGTTGCATTTCTCAAGAGTTTCAGTGATGTGAGGAGTGTGAAGCTGTTTTGTCTGAGTTGTGTTTCTCAGAGTGTGTGTAAGGGATGTGTGAGGTATGCAACTTGTTGCGTTTCTCAGAGTGTCAGGGTTTTGTGAAGTGTGCTGCTGACTGTTTTTCTCGGGCTGTGAGTCAGGGATGTGTGGAGTGTGCTGCTGGCTTTTCTCAGGTGAGTGGTTACTGTCTTACTGTTTGATTTGCTCCTGTTCGGCTCGTAGCTCCTGCACCACCTCCTCAAACTGCTTCTTCTCCCCAGCCAATGCCTGATTCAGTTTCTCCAGTTCCTAAAATTTAACAACCAATCAGTAGGTTAATAAGCATTACAGAAGTGGCAACAACCTTTTTTATGGGAGAAGTGAGAGTAGCAACAGTCTCAGTACTATTATAGGTTGAAGTAGTTCAGGTGGGTAGCTGCATCAGCATGCATAAGAAACAAGAAATAGGTCTAGTCCATGCTGAAAAGAGAAGAAAGAAAACTTTATAAACCTATTACTTGTTCCTTTGCAGCTTACGCATGCTGATGCAGCTACCTACTATACCTGAACAACTTCAACGTACATCTGCTGCAAAATCACTATGCCTTCCTCCAAATCTTTTTCTAGATCTCTTCGTCATTCCTTCTCTTCGTCCCTGAGTCACTTGCCCCCCTCTCTAACTAAACCAGCATTCCGTCTCTTCACAGCGATCTGTTCCAAGACCGCTCACACCTGAAGAAGGCTCCACAGCCGAAACGTTGTGTTTTCGTTCTTCTCTTTTCAGCATGGAATAAACCTATTACTTGTTCCTCAGTACTATTAGATTTTGTCTTAACTTTGCACCACTGTGATTGACTGATTGACAAGACACTTAGAAATGCCTTGATCTTGTTGTAATATGGTTGTAGTTAATACAGATGATAAGTTAAAAACTTTGATAGGAGCTGTGATCACATAACGATCACATACCTTGTGGTATGTGCTGATGAGCTGAAACTACAGCAGTTCTATCTGTAAACACAGAAAGAACACTACCACATACAATTACACAAACATGACAAAAACAGACATTAAACATGGTAAGGACAAACATTTCCATTCCTAATACTATGTGTAAATTTGACAATTACACAATTTTAATGGTTTCTTATTTTAATATGGAGGTGTTCTGTTAAAGGGATACCTGAAGCACAGCAACAGCTGTAGCCCTAACATTATTGGCATTAGAACCTCTAATGTTACTGTGAGAAGTTGTAGCAGTATTACAAATATTAGCACCAGTAATATTTTAATAATGTGTGCTTATGAATATTTGTTCAAATATTAATGATCTCCTTTCTCTAATATTAAAAAAAAAAATTAAAGCAGCAATGTCCAGTATCAATTGTTGCTTCTCCAACCATGAATTTGACACTGAGTCATCTACATGGTAATAAATCTGCAGCATTTTGGTACTCACAGACTCAAGAATGAAAACTACATTTTGATTTCCACGTTGAAATAATGCTTATAACTCTTCGCTCAGTGGCTCTACAAAATTCTGTATCAGGATGCAGTGCCTCAGTCTTTTTTTCACACCAACATTTCACCCACCAAGACAAGTGCATGCTGTGTCAGATCCAGAAGTACAATAACAGTGATTGAGTAGCCTGTCTGAAAAGTAATTATGTGCAAGAATTTGGTAAAATTGATGTAAGTTTTTTTCCTTCTTTAGTCTTTCAAATTAGAATTCATTATTTGGGATCGGGGATTAATATAAACCCAAAGGACTGAGAATAACCTATTTGAAATATTGACATAACTGTTTTGCCAAAATGTTGCAGATATTATTCCAGTTGACATGACAGTATTTGTGATAAAGATGATAACACATGTTGAAAATATTCTTTAATAAATGGCAAGAAAACAATTTGGAATTTATAGAGAATTAAACTGAATTTAAGAAATATGGGGACGGGAATGGCAGTGTAATATGGATCACCTCCCGACAATTTTGTAATAAAGCCCTGGATAAGTCAGAGGGACAGATCGAAGAAGTGGAAACAAGGGACTTAACAGAAACTGTGATAAAGAAACTCTTGCAACGACAAAATACTTTGGAAACAAAATTAACAGACTAGGAAGGAAGATCGCACAGAGACAGAAACATTCCGATTTACAGAAACACCAAAGATTCTGAGGGACGCTGCATGGTAGCCTTCCTTGAAAAGGAAAAGGGGGGAACTTGATTTACCGAAGGATGTGGAACTGAGAATTGAAAGGGCGCATAGAGCGATAGCGCCCAAACCCAGAGGCCCTGACACCAAACCGCACTCCATTGTCGCCAAGTTCTTAAGCTACAAAATGAAAGAAATGTTACGTAAAGCTTGGCAAAAGAAAGAACTTTTCCATAATAACAAACGATTTTACATGGATCGTGATTACCCCCCAGCAGAACTAAAAAAAGTATGGAATATTCTGAGGTAAAAAAGGTGCTGAAATTGCAAAAAATAAAATTTCAGCCTTCATTTCCAGCAAGGCTACAGGTGTTCTATGAAGACAGCACCTGTCTATACCATTCAGCAGCAGAAGCCACAAAGGACATGGCAGAGAGAAGACTTAAGTTCAAGTTATACAACCAGTGCCTACATTGGAAAAGAAATCAAGCAACTGTTTACTTGACAGAAGGCTGGCAGATGGGGTGGCCCTGTGAAAGACCAGTCCTCGAAACAGTAATATAAGGAGAAACTACAGAGTTTCAGGCGGAGAGCCCCCTCGCAAGATTGAAGAAAATGGATACAGTGAGTTGTTAAAAGTCATTCAGGATTTAATTGTTTAATTGTTTTTTTTTATTTGTTTTTTGAATAAGTTTCCTGCGATGTTTAAGAGAATTTGTAAATGTTGGGATAGATACCTGGTGACTATGACTAGAGTGACTTGTTTCTTTATTTTTAATGGTTACCCTCTTTTTTCTTTTGATAAATAAAAGTTTGGATTTGCTATCGCGCTGCCTGCTTAAGGGCCCTCCTCCAGAGGAGATGGGGGACTTCCCTTTTTTTTAAAAAAAAGAGAAGCCCATACAGGGTTCGTTTGAAAAGAATCCAACAGTTGGAAGAAAGTACTGTGAATGAGACAGAGATGGATACAGTTTTGTTTAAGATTGTTTGTTTAATTTTTTTGTTTATTGTGCTTTTTATTTGTGATGCATTATTAGAGAAAATTGATGGGAAGAGGATGTTTAACAATAGGAAACATGTCTTATCGGAAAGAGTTTGAAAGTTCCACCATGTACATTTAACCCTATTAAGAGAAGTAAGATTTTGTCTAAAACGAAGACAGAAGGGGCTCATATTGTTTTGTTTTTTTACGAGAAACACATCTGAGTGTATTGGAGCATGAGAAATTAAGGAGGATGGGTTTCTCAAAAAATCTGTTTCTCCTCATATACAGTAAATCTGGCCATAGGAGAAGTGTGGCTATACTGATATCTCAAAAGGTTCAAATTAAGTTGCTCATAGAAGTTAAAGATAAGGAGGGGAGATATGTATTAGTATTTGGAAAAATGGAAGGGGAATTACTCAAGCTACTTAATGTAAATGTACCACCTGGTAGTGATTTTAATTTTTATAAAAAAATGTTTGACTTGATGGCTAATACACAAGGGATACTGATTTTTGGAAGTGATTGGAATGTGCATCTTAATCCCAGGCTTGATTCTATAAATATATATTCTCAGAGGGCTAAGTCATTGCATAAAAATATAAATATACTGATTGGGGAAATGGGAATAATAGATCTTAGGAGAGATTTCTATCCAAGTGGGCAAGTTTATACTCACTATTCCCTCCCTCATTCAGTATATTTAAGGATTGATTATTTTTTATATACAAGAGAGAAAAACATAGGATTTAACATTGCGATATTAGTGGAATTGATTTTTCAGACTACGCTCCTGTGTCATTGTCCATACGATTAAGTAATAATCGCGGAAATACAACATGGAGGATGAACTCCGTCTTTTGAATGATCCTCAATGTAAAGCACAGATAAAGCAAGAAATAAAAATATTTCTGGAGGAGAATATAATGGGGAAGTGGGACCAGAGATGATATGGGACACATTAAAGGCAGTTATAAGGGGGAAAATTATTGCTCTGAGCAGTAAGTCATAAGAAGAAGGTAAATTAACTACAACTATCTAATCTAAATATAAAGTTAAAAGAGTTGGAGAAAATACATCAAGAAAAACAGGATTCAAAAACCATGCAAGAAATAAAGAAGATTAGAAACAAAATAGATGTCTTATATACACAGGAAATTGGAAAAGAAAATATATTTACTAGACAAAAATATTACAAGTCAGGATCAAAATCACTAAAGCTGTTGGCAAGAAAATTAAAAAAACAACAGACCGATAATAAAATATATAAAATAAGGGAAATATAGGAAGAAATCCAAAACACTTTTACAAATTATTACAGAAAACTATACACAACCCCATACAGAAAGTTAAGAAAAGATGGAGGCTTTTTTGGAATCTCTAAGTTTACCAACTCTTACGGAAGATCAAAATAATATATTAAAAGCAATGATAACACCATAAGAATTGAATTCAGTGATTACTAGCCTCAGAGCAAATAAATCACCTGGTACTGATGGTTTTAATTTGGAATGGTATAAAACCTTCCGAGCAGAATTAATACCAAATCTTCTTTCAGCTTGTAACTCGGCATTAATTGATGGGGAAATGCCCCCATCATGGAGAGGCTATCATCTCAGTTATCCCTAAGGATGGGAAAGATAGATTACATTGTGGATCGTTAAGACCAATCTCAGTCCTTAATGTTGTAGAAACCAAGAAATTCGAGCCTGAAGTGTTCGTTCGTCCAGCCAAGTTTTATTGTATGCAGGTGGGTAGCTGCGTCAGCATGCGTAGGCTGCAAAGGAACAAGTAATAGGTTTATTCCATGCTGAAAAAGAGAAGAAAGAGAACACACATTTCGGCCGTGGAGCCTTCTTCAGGTGTGAGAGAGACAGGGCAGTAGGCAAAGGTAAAGTAGCGGGAGGAGGAGTGAGAGACAGAAGCAGGGGACAGAAAGAGAGGCCAATCAAGAGGTGTGAAGTCAGAATGGGCGCAGAGAGGTGTGAAATGAAACTTCCAATGAATGGAGAAAATTTAAAAGAACATTAGTCTGTCGTTAAGAGAAGGGAGAATGTGTGATCCTAACTGCAGAATAATTTTGGTTTCGGTGGTCTTTCTGATGTATGAGGTTGGAAACCGTTTTTGAGAATACAGATGGAGGGATTAGAGTGGTCTTGGTCATCAGAGGT